CTTCATACTTACAATTGCTTCAAAATTATTATTGTGATACCAGAGGAAAATATTCTTTGTACAGGAAGGTTTGTTACGAATTTCGCGCAAAGCTACACGAGGGTTATCTGCGATAGCCGTCCCTAATTTAGCAGTGAAAGACTAGAGGGAAGGCAGCTAGTCATGACTACCCACCGCCAACTCTTGGACTACTCTTTTACCACTTGCTTGAGGATTTTTTCTTGTTAAAATAGTTAGATATAATGTTATTTAGGTGTATGAAGCTATTTGTTTACAAGAAATTCTTGGACGTAAATATTTGTGCACAAGGAAGCATTCATCTCTTGTGATTTTATATGTATGTTGTATGAAACTTTTAAAATATTAACGATATGAAACTATCACCATTAAAATATAGTACAGTGAGTTTATGTTAACTTTCAACTTAGTGTAATTGCAACCACCTTTACTTTTGATGTCATTTGGAAATTGACAGTATTCTTAGAAGCTTCAAAGATGGAAAAGTATATAAAGGCTTCAAAAGGATCTGTTGAATTAAGCAATTGTTTTTCGTCGAAACAAGTTCATACATTTCCTTCTAGAGAAACTAGTCTTGAATACACATTTTTTTCTATTTATTTGTCATTAAAAACGTTATTGAAAATGAAATGTGATTCTTTCGTAAAGAAGTGCATAAGTGTTAAAAACACGTGGTTAAATAACATTAAGGTAACATTAAACTCAGTAAACATTACAATCAAACCTTCAACGTTGTATTCCTCGTGAAAATACAGAAATTTAATTAATAACCTGCTAGTCAATGATTATAAGAATTTATTTGTGTTAATTAATACATTATCTTTTCAAACTGCTACAGATGTCACTCTTATTTATTTTTCTCCGGTAATTCAACAATAAACAGAAATGTTTGTAACGCTATAATTCATAACTCTATCCCTATGGTGAGCACAACAAAGATAGCCTTTTGTGCATAACAAAAAATTCTTCCTTCTTATTTATTGTTATTTAATTAAAAAGAGTTCATGATTTAATTTTACAAACACACTTTTATCATTTTGAATAATACGAATTTTACTTAGATACTTTTGTTTTTACAATATAATTGAACTAAGTCCTTTAACACGTGCCCTTTTCTTTTTATTATTATTATTCATATATTATCTGTCACTTCTTAATGCCTGAAATTTAGGTACTAAAATACAGTGTACTGAATAATAATCATTCTAATTCAAGTCAATAACCAAGTAGAATAGCTGCTTGGGAAAAAATAAATCTTTTTATTAGGTTTTGTGAAATGTAGCTCACTTGGCATTCTGATTTGTCTACTTTACTTTATAGATAATGTAATTGATTAAAATTCAGTTTCACGATATTTAATAAGCTTACTTATTATTTATTAGATGATTTAATAGACCGCCTCATCTGATTTACTTTTTTAAAATGATTTTTCTACTTTGAAGCAAATATTACAAAGATATGCCATTAATTTTTATTTCTCTAAGAAAAATGATTCTGCTTGTTGACTTTTTAAAAATTAAGTTAGATATGTTTTTTTGTTTAATTCTAAAAGTTAGTTCATTTAAAGTAATTTAAAATGTTAATTAAATTCAATAACGGACGCGATCTTAATGAAAAAATATAGCATGCTCTGTAGGACTTAAAGCCACAGCTCAGTCATTTGCGTTTAATATTTAAAACATAACGTCGTCATTTCATGCTATTTTATTAACCCTTACTAAAGGAGCATTCCTATATGTTCTGTGAATGGCACTCTTAATATGTATTGCTACGCCAGAAAAAATACACCAGAGACACGTGATGAAACAATTCCACTTGGTTTGAGAGTATATTTTTGAATTTAATTTTTTTCACTTTATCTTCCATGATAACTTAATCAAATGAGTCTAGTTTTAATGTATTATACATACTCGGAAAAAAAAGTCTAAGAATTTTTTTCAGCATATGTCGTCCCACTAAAAAAAAAAGTTGGAACGAACCATTGAAAATTCGAACCTTAAAATGTTTTACGTTTTTTATATTTTAGTACCTTCTTCCCCAGATGTCTTTCCTACCTGAATTCTACTGTTTAATATCAAATACGGAGTTAATTTTTCTTTACGAATATTTACTCTGTGAATGTCATCCTGATCAATTGATACGCGTATCTTAAAAAGAAAAAAAACATGCATTCATAAGAACCTTCTAAGTTTTACAATATTGACTGTGTTGTACATTACGTATTACTAATTCCGTTCTTTGCTAAACAAAAAGCAACTTTACTGAAACTTTACGACAATAAATATTAAGTACGGAACTGTATTTGATTTTCCAAGTTTATTACCAGATTTTTACTCTACACTTCGATACTGTAAATTTTAACAAATATTCTAAAATCACCAGCAAAACGAAAAAAAAAAAACACGTAGATTTTAGTTCGTTAAAGCTTTTGTTGCTCCTCCAATGTAAGTTACCTCACTTTTCTTTATTGTTTATTTATATACCAGACCTCCTTACTGCGGCTTTTCTGTGCTTGTCTAAAATTGTATTTTTATTCTAAATAAGTTAGAATACGTAATCCTGTAACTACAGAAAAAATAATTTAGTTAAATTTCTAAATGAACAAGAATTTTGTCTAGATCTGATATTGAAAAGGTCATAGGTGGAAAGCTTCATACTTGTACTTTCAACGTATTCCAATTAAACATAATTAAAATATTTATTAACTTCTGTATGTTGGAGCTTCGTTATTCTATTTTTTTGAGTTGAAATTATATCAAAAATCAAGATCTTTAACAGTTTCATATATATATAAAGAGAGAGAATTCCTAAATTAAAAATAAACTACAAAATCATTAACCGTAGCAAGAAAGCAGCGTTATGTATTGTAGCATTATTTAAAGAAACTTAATGATATTTTCATCTTTAAAGTATAATTTCTGTAACAATTTTGATATCCGAGGCAAAGAAAATTCGATGCATTAGTAATAACTAAACAGAAATTGTATTTTATTTTTTGTAAACACAACTTAAAAAGACGAGATGTTTAACAGTATGTTCCACAATTTTTAAATTCAATAGTGTTGAAAGTATTCTAAGAAAAAATTCACAGATTAAACATAAAAATTTTCAGGATCGCTAAAATATACATGAATGTTCAAGAAGTACATTATATTTAGAGGTTCATATTTTTTTTGTTAATAATTATTTTTCTAAGCAGAGCAGCATAAAGTTTTAGATTTTTTTATAATACTATTATTTGTTACAACTCAAATTCATTACATTTCTTAAAGATAACGACTCCATTAATTAAATAAATTAGAGCCTTTGGTCTTTGGCTAATTCCTTAAATGAATTAGTCAGTATAAAAACTTTTGAGGAACAAAATACGAGAACTAATATAATGTCTTATTCATGAATTTTAAAAATCCTTTTAAGAAAGTGGGTAGTTTGAAGATAATTGTTTGAATACAGGCAATATTTTACTCTGTACCACATTACTTTTGAAAATTTCGAACAAGTCGCTGTAACTAAGATAACCTAACATCTTTCGAAATCTTTAAATACGCTACAGGGACATTTATTGTCAGATTGAGCCATGTGGAATTCGAGCTAGAGCGGAAACAAGTGTACTGAGAGATGTTTAGACAGAATGCTTAACTAGATATAACTTAAAGAACAATTATATTAGCTTCAAGTAGTAAAAACTTTAGTTTTAGCCACTTTATGAAGCAAACTTGAGGGAAAGGACGGATACTCACGCCTGAGAGAAAGGAACACAATGAGCATCAATCTTAGAGTTATTCTACTATCTGAAATATCTTTGTTTTCTTGTGTCTCCAAACTCGCAAGCAGCTATAAACAGATAATAATGTTTGCTTTTTCTGAGATCATAAATAAATAAACGATATAAGACACTTTCGTTCTAGTTTAGGCACGATTTTCCAAACTATTCCGACCTTGATTTCTTGTTTAGTTAAAAACTCTAATGAAATGCTTACCTTTGTGTTTAAAAATCTCAACGCTACATATAGATAAATCATAGGGAACACTTTTATGTCTTTCTATAAGCGTACAATGATCTGCTAATACTTTTGTTAGGACTGTTTCTTTGTGTTTTTTGAATTTCGCGCAAAGCTACACGAGGGCTATCTGCGCCAGCCATCCCTAATTTAACAGTGTAAGACCTGAGGGAATGCAGCTAGTCATCACCACCCATCGCCAACTCTTGGGCTACTCTTTTACCAACGAATGGTGGGATTGACCGTCACATTATAACGTCTCCACGGCTGAAAGGGCGAGCATGTTTGGTGGGACTGGGATTCGAACCCGCGACCCACAGATTGCGAGTCGAGTGCCCTAACCACCTGGCCATGCCGGGCCAAAATCGAAACAATGTTTAGATTCAGGCTTAAATTTGTACATAAAAACAAATGTTTTGAATTATTCAGAAGATACAAGAAAAAGAAAATGAATTTAATAGGCCTAAGTTTAATTTTTCCATGACTGAACGTAATTAGGAGTACAAATTTAATTTCTTTTCACTTTAGTAATAAGTTCATTGTTACGTTTCAGTACGCCATGCCATCATCATTTTAATAATTCAGGAACACTGCAGCTATTCTCAATTATGTGATCTCATAAGTTAGTCTTAAGCTTTCGTAGAACGTAAATCATACTCCAGTAAAACATTGTTTAAATGATTCAGCCCGTTTTGAACAAATGACTAACTAAGAGTTTAAATAGCCAAATATTCATATTATGACAGGATTATTATTCACCAAGAAAAACTTATAATAAAGTTCTTTAAAACAACTTACAATTTAAATAATAAAGAGACAGTCTTGCAAGACAGTAATCTTCGTGTAATAGTCATTGATTTCTGCTCTATTTATGAATCAGTAACCATATATGTTTGAAGAGGAACATAAATTCAAGTTAGAAGGATCAGTAGTTATAACAAAATCTATGTAAAAATAATTGTGATTTACACGGAGCCAAGAATCTGCCTAAGCTCATTTTTGTATTCTTGAATCAGTACACTTCAATTTTTTATGGGACGATCATAGCCGTCAACAGCCATACAATCCAGTGGACAGGTTGGGTTTTAACACGTTAAATCGTCTTTAGTAACATCTAATGTTAATCTTGATTCATACACTCTCTATATGTTCCTCTGCAGTGCCCATCACGAAAATGTCTACATTACAAATATTGGTATGTAAAATACGACGAATACGGATATACTAGTTAATCCACTGTTCGCATTGTTGGTTTCTGACAAAACTTAAGAATAAACAGTATTAAAATTAGGTATGGATGATATGTGTGGGAAGTCGCTGTTGGCCTCCAATCCAGTCTTCCTGGGTGCTGGTTTGGTAGAACTCCGACACGTCAAAGCGAACTTTAACTCTTTCACCATTTCCTTGCAAATAGGTTCCTGTTGTGGTAGAAATTAAGTTATCAAATTTCAGAAATATTATTGGTATTTCCTAGAAAACAAATAAATAAATAAGCTATAGCAACTCTAAAATCCAAGTGGTAATAACTTTACTTAAGAAATATATATATTATTCATACAATTAAAAGCACTACCGTGTAATAAAGCCATAGTGTAGTAAAATTTTCGGATAAAAATGAACATTGATATATTTCAAATGATTCTCAGCTTTCTTAACCTACAGGAAGAGATACTGTGTAATCGAAATTAATCAAAATGTCCCATTTCGGCTAATTAACTTCAAAACATGTAGTCAAAAACTATGTTACTTTGTTCTTTTCTAGCCGTTATTAATTGATATCCTTTAAATATTGAACCAATAAAAGCAGGGCTAATTTAACAATGGAGAAGCTCAACAATAAAACATCATAAATTCATCATATTGTTTCGTGATGAATTACTTTACGGCGTAAAGATAAATCATTTATTTAAATAGGTAATACTGAAATTGGGTCTCTACGTCCAATAAAACCTGTACCAATATCTCTTGATATTCAGATATTGAAGCTTCGTCACAAAATCTCTCTTAATGATAAAACTAAGCATAAAAATTTCCCAGTCTCTCTAGTTAATTGATGGACTTTCTTTTCTTGTTGTTGTTCTTTCAATATTTAAACGCCCCCAGTGGCACAGCGGTATGTCTGCGGATTTACAACGCTAGAATCCAGGTTTCGATAGCTGTGGTAGGCAGAGCACAGATAGCCAATTGTGTAGCTTTGTGCTTAATTACAAACTAATAAACAATTGTGTATATTAAAACTTCTATGAAGATCGTTAGCATTATCCTTTTATATTCTCTTGAAAGAAACAAATCGAAAAAATCTTACTCTATCTTCTGCTGCCATCTTTTTTGCTTTCCAGAAGAATTCCAACACTGCCACAACCGTTGCCATGGCTAACCCGCCCAGAAGCACTACAAACACGCCTCCAACGTTGGCTAGACCAAGCTCTCGAACAGAACTGGAGCCTTTTTTTGATTCAACACACTGACCTCCTCCTTTCTTTTGCTTCCACCATCTTTCCTTGAGGATATGCAAAATCCCGCTTTCTTGAAGCTTGAGTATGCCACTGGACAAAGGTGTTCTATAGAGGGACCCTGTAATGGAAACGTCAGGGTATCAACAAATGTAATTTAAAACCGAATTAACCAATACTTACCCTTTTTTTAATTATTCATAATTGTTAACAAGAAATCTATCAAGCGTGGTTAAATGATGAGCATATCTGGACTCGAATCTACAGATTAATGACTCGCGTCCCGTTGTTGTACAAAAGTCCGCACTTCGGAGCCGTGAGTGCGCTATAAGTTTGTCTGAATACTCTTTCAAAGCAACACACGGGCTATAATTTTAAGTTGATAGACTACAAATAAGGCAGCTAGTTATCGGCACTCACCGCCATTACTTGGAAAACTTCAGTCGAATAGTGGGAGTTGACTCTCATTATTATATCACACCCACTACCCCAAAGTGCTAAGACAATTTTGCAGCAACAGGACATGAGTCATGGACCCCCGAATTCCCAGTTCGGCACACTAACCAACTGGCAATGCCAGGCCCATGGTGTGCTATAAGAGCGACAGTCAAATCCCACTCTTCGGTCAAACAAGAGTAGCCCAAGAATTAGCGGTAAGTACCTAATATATAACTTTGTACTTAAAATAAACAATGTGCCGCTTTTGGTATAATTGTTGACAAAAGTTTTCGATTGAAGATCCTACCATTCAAGATTTGCAGCGTTTATATATATATATATATATATATAATAAACTTATTTATCGCTGATATTTCAAAGGTTGTTGACCCACATGCGAAATTTTATCAGGCAGTAAAACTGTTATTTTATACTAATTAAGGTTATTTAACACCTACTTTTTTCTTCATAAGCATATTATTTTTTTATGATTAACATATAACTCTTATAAACGGTAAACAAATAATGCCCCTCAGTGGCACAGCGGTACGTCTGCGGAGTTACAACGCTAGAAACCGGGTTTAGATACCCGTGGTGGGCAGAGCACAGATAGCCCTTTGTGTAGCTTTGTGCTTAACTACAAACACATAATAAAGTTTGTAATGTATTTTATTTTATTTGAAAATGGATAGCTGTCATCTTTACCTTTAGGGGTAGCGATTCCGTAACCTTTTGAATCTAGTAGACCACCAATCCGAGTTAGATTACAGTTTCTCTCCACTCTATATTCAATGGAAGCTGATTCCATTAGAAAGGCATAATTTCCTTCCAAGACACGATCAACTCCCTCGCTGTTGGACTTAGTGAAAACACTAGGATCTTTTTCCATCTGTTTCCACATTTTCTGATAAGTTGGAATCTTGGATTCCTACCAAAATGATGAAATTGATTAGCATGTTTTTCTCTTCATATTTTATTCTTCTAAGTCTTCTGGATTAAAGAAAAAACAAAAAGCAACATAAAAGACAAATATATATTCTTAAAAAAACGTATATTTTGAGAAACTTCGTGCAATGAAATGAAAGCGTCATATTTAACTTTAAATCATGTCATTTTCAATGGTCATTATGTTGTTTTGGACGCATCATTACTTAAACTGATGTGATCTTATTGGTACTTTATGGCATTTAAAAGTAATATGTTTTTATATTAAAATGTGGAAGATTTCAATGAACCTGTTACATAGAAAAATCATATAATTGAAATACTAAAATACAGGTCATTTAAACAGGAAGTAAACTTTACCTTAAAGAAGGCCTTGGTTGATCCTGTTCCCAAGCAACCATATTTGATTTTAGTTTGCTTCACGAGATCTTCGGCATTCTCTATTGGATAAACAACTTTTTCAACTGTCAGAAAAGCAGCAAGGTTGGCAGTGTAAGAAGAGATCATAATTAAAGTGAAAAAGTACCAGATTCCAGCAATGGTTCGAGTTGACATAGCTCTGCCGTGATAAAACAAAAAATAGAGGGATTACTATTAAAACTAATATATCTTGCTGTTCAGAAATCTTCATATAAAGAAATATTATAAGAAGAAAGTCATTTTTTTCTATTCTAAAGGAAGCTTTTGCGATAGTGGATTCTTAGATTTGTGTTTAAATATAAACGCTAGACTAAAACATATGTTGACTTTGATTGTATGTAATACTCTTTCTAATTTGTACTCGCTATAGAAAGTAAGCAAAATATGTAACAATGAAATCATGTGGCAGTATCCGTACATATTTTCTGTTCACATTTCTCATAACTGAAGCATATACTAAAATTATGAGCAGTTTGGACAGGAAACCTTGGTCAATAACAGTTAAATAAATGGCTACAATAAATATCGAGAACATAAAAGTTGCATTCGTCAGATCTTTCCCATAATTTAAGATATAAAGAAATCGTAAAGTTAAAAAAGAAGATATGATTTCAGAAAATTCCTTTCATCTCTGTGGGACAAAACGTTAATGTTTTGTATAGGTAATTATCACATTTTTCCAATTTAGATAGAATTATTTAAAAGATGAGCATAATTATTTTTATACTTTTTCATAATTTATGGGTTTAGTGTTTTCTCACATTGTATTTCCTTAAAACAGAGTTAACTGTTGTGAGATAACTCATTATCATTAGATAAATATGCTGAACATTAGTGAAAAAAAAACACAGTAAACGGAACGAACTGTAAGAAGTTTGATATCACAAAATTAGCTTCGACACATTCGTGCTTCTTTTTCAGTCTTACGTTGTCTTCTGTCAGAAAAAAAAAACTGGTCAGCATACGCCTACCTTGTCGCTGATCTTGTAATTCCCTTAAGGACACGGGAGGTCAAAAAGTTGTTAAGTTTAAAGTGATTTTGGGAGGTGTTGAAATTAAGCAACTTACGACAATTCTTCTTTTTATGTACACTGAGTGGTCACAAGTAAATAGACACCTAATATTTCGTCA